AAAAATTTATAAATTAGTATATAAAGGGTGATTGAAATGATATAGAATAATATCACTCCACCACAAGTAATCAGCTAAAATTGTGTATATATTTCCATCTATATCTCCAGCTTTATAACTGATACTAATTTATACCTTACTTTTTTTTGGGGGGGGGGGGCTCCTTGTAGCCCCAGCTGGCTGGCCTCCAACTAACAGGGATCCACCTGCCTCTGCCTCCCAAGTGCTGGGATTAAAGGCATACGCCGCCATGCCTGGCAATATCTTACTTTCTTAAAGCTCTATCCTAATCATTTTTTTCAGGTGGGCACAAATGGATTTAAATACTTTTTTTTTTACTGGCTTTACTGTCGTTTTGATATTTCTAGTACCCGTATCAATCTGTGTTATACAGTAGTTAAATTTTATGTAAAGGATGAGCTTTTCTTTTTAAAATAATTTTTTAATGTGTGTGTTTTGCTTACATGTAAAAGCACCCGAGTCCTGCAATGCCAGCAGAGGCCAGAAGTGAGCGTAGAATCTCTTGGAACTGGAGTTACTGAAGGTTGTTAGTTGCCAAATGGGTGCTGAGAATCGAATTGCTCTTAACCGCTGAGCCATCTCTCCAGCCCCGAAGACCTATTTTCTCGGTTAATACAGGGAGCTCAAAAATCTATAAGCATTAAACGCAATTAATTGCTTTCCTGATCTTATTTGCAATGAGAATGTTTAACTAATTAAGCAAGAGCATAAATGCCTGAAAATCTTTCTAAGGGGGCAAGATATATATAATAAAACAGTGACACAATTCCACGATAGGTTGGTGTGTCCTTGGTTTGGCAAGGAGAGCACAGAGGATCACCAGCATTGAGTGGATTTCGGGCTCCTTAGGCACAGAGCGCAAAGAGCTCAACTAAAGTCAAAGGTCGCTGGCTACATGGCGGCCTTCGGTGGAAAATACTCTCCCAAGCCAACATACTCAGCCCTCAGTTTTCCCCTGGTCTCTGAAAATAGAAGGATCGTGGCCATTCCGTAGGGCAACACCAAGTCCTGGAGGGCAACTCAGAGGAACCCGGAGCCAGCTTCTAAGACGAACTAGCGCATTCCCCCAACCGCCCACCGCTTTGCGCGCCTGCGCAGAGCCTCCAGTACCCAAGGGCTGTTATCTGAAGCACCTCGGCACCCACACTCACCCGGACCACGAAGTTCTAAGAGGAAGCTCGGCTAGTGTGCTCGGGTACCCAAACCCAAGCGTTTCTAAGAAACGAACTCCACAGGAGCTCAGCTTTCGACCTCTCCACATTGCGACGAGTCCACTCCTTTTCCGGTCCCTCTCGCAGCATATCCCAAACAGAAAGGTTCCGGTTCCCTCTGTCGCCATCAGCTGCCGACTTTCAGGATTGTACTACTGAGTGGACGTGAACGTGTGGCCACAGTTAACTTTCCAGTTCAGCAGCTACCAAACTGTATATGCAATGAAACAAAATACGTTTCTAATAGTACAAATGACCATGAAGATCTTTTTCCTACATATCACTTCAAACCTCGCGGTCACAATAGGAATGCATGCTAGTTTTTGTCCGCTCTGACAGAAACTGGTCACTTGGTGGGGATTTCCTCCATCAGATTGGCCTGTGGGCATGTCTGTGGAACATTTTCTTAATTGTTAATACTAGAGGGCCAGGACTGCAGAAATAAAACAGCGGTTAAGAGTACTGACTGCTCTCGCAGAGGACCCGGGGTTCGATTCCCAGCACCCACATGGTAGCTAACAACTTTAATTCCAGTTCCAGCGGATCCACATCTTCTTTAGACTTCCGCCGGCATTGCATAACACGGGTGCACCTACCTACACACAAGCAAAACACCCATACACATAAAATAAAAATAATAAAATTAAAAAAAAAAATACTGGTGGGTACCGTGGGCGGTGCCCTCCCTAAGCAGGTGGACCTGAGCTGTAACTGTGGAAGCCGGTAAGCATTTCTCCATGGTCCCTGCTTCAGGGCCTGACTCCAGATTCCTACTTGAGCTTCTGCCCTGGCTTCCTTGGTGAGACTAACCTGTGAGCTGAAATAAACCCTTTCTTCCCCGAGGAGGAAAAAGTTCATGTTTTATCAAGCAGCAGAGAAGCAAACAGCATGTCACTATTGTGTACTTACCAGGTATCTCCCCCAAAGACATGTATTCTTGGAAGAGACCCTGACTCTAATGCTTACAAACACTGAAATTACTTCCTAAAACTGTCTAGAACTTTCAAGGTACTAAAATATCACAGAAAACCAGAGGAGTCCAAATTTAAAACATATTTTCTACAAGTGACCTAATATTCTGGGCAGGATATATTTATGCAGAAGACTCAGCTTAGGCAGTGCTTGGAAGTAGAAAGTGATCAGTACACAGCATTTTACTAACTGTACAGAAAGTCTTCCTTTGCAAAAATAATGGTAAATTCCTAAAATTTAAGACATTATTCTACACTTTCGTGTGTGTCAAGTGTTTTAACGATTCTTTGAATCAGTGAAATTTATTGAGCCTTCAATTATACCTCCTGAACTAAAATACTGACCTCTTAAGACTGGCTGCAGACTTTTCAGTTGTTATGTCATATTCAGAGTTCCTGTGTTTGGAGATACATGACTATTTCTACAAAGGCAAAAAGCTCTGTACAAAAGCTTAATATGTCTGTCTTGTATCAGTTTCTGTTGGATTGTTAGATTCAAGGAAAGTCTACAGTGCAAACATGATTAAAGTTCTAAGGACTTCTTGTAAATGTACTATATGTTCACTAAATATACTATATACCACATAGCTTCAAAACCGTCTCACATTTTTTTCTTCAACCTTTGCCTTAATGTCTACAGGAAGCAAAACACTGTCTGAATCCCCAGAACAAAAGTTTTTTTTCCTTTGGTCTTTTTGAGATGGGGGTCTCTCTGTAGCCCCAGCTGTCCTGGAACTCACTAGGCAGACCAGGCTGGCCTTGAACTCAGAGATCCGCCTGCCTCTGCCTCTCGAGTGCTGGGATTAAAGGTGTGCACCACCATGCCGGGCAACAAAGGCTTTTATATAAAGTAAGCCTGAACTGAAATTATGCGGACTGTAATGCAATATATAGCCATTGTTACAGATATTGCCCAGAGAAACCCTCTATCTTATAACCAAGTTGTAGTTTATACATCTTTGTTTTGCTAGGAAATTCTTAACATCTATTTAACATTTTATATCACTCGGGAGGTGGAGGCAGGTGGATTTCTCTGAGTTCAAGGCCAACCTGGTCTACACAGCAGTTCAGTTCCAGGCCAGCTTGAGCTACAGGAGACCCTGTCTCAAAAAGAGCCCCCCCCCCTGCCAATTATATACTATTTTTCATTAGGATAAATAAAGTACTTCCTTAATCTCTATGGCAGTTTTATCCCTTTGAACAATGTACTAGTGCATTCACTTACTCAGCTTAACTGGTATATTTTAATATTTAAAAAAAATTCTACATAATTTGGTAAATTTAACTCTATCCTACCATTATTAGAATGTGGCCGAGAAAACCAATGTGTTTATATGGAAACTAAGTGGATGATAACTGATAATACTTCCTTAATCTCTATGGCAGTTTTATCCCTTTGAACAATGTACTAGTGCATTCACTTACTCAGCTTAACTGGTATATTTTAATATTTAAAAAAAATTCTACATAATTTGGTAACTTTAACTCTATCCTACCATTATTAGAATGTGGCCGAGAAAACCAATGTGTTTATATGGAAACTAAGTGGATGATAACTGATAAATAAACATTATGGTAAAATATAACTCACATGTACACTAACTTAAGAGCTAACAAAAAAGTTCATCTTTTTCACATTTTGGACATTACAACCAAAGTCTTCTTAAAACCAAACACAATGAGTGCTGGAGAGATGGCTCAGTAGTTAAGAGCATTTGCTGCTTCAGCAGAGAACCCAGGTTTGGTTCCTAACACCCACATGGCAGCTCACAACAGCCTGCAACTCCATTTCCAAGGAATCTCATGCTCTCTTCTGTCTGGCCTCTGACAGCAACAGGCACGAATGTGGTTGGTGCACAAACATATACACAAGCAAAGCATACACATAAAAAATGACAATAAATCTTAAAAAAAAATTAACCTTGAAAAAACTCAGGCGTTCAATACCTTAAAGTTCATCATTTCTAATTCCTTCCTGATATAGCTGAAGAAGCTGGGGACCATAGCAATTCAGTGACTTGCCAAAACATAAAATGAGAAGGGGTAGGACTCTACTAGTCCTATTAAACTAATAATTAGTTCATTCTTGTGTTCTTAACCAAGCCATCTCTCCAGCCCACATATTAAAATATTTAAGAGATAACAGCTTAAATGTGTGTATAAGGCAATAATATAGGATCTTTTGGCCTTACATTTAACTTATACATAAAATTTAGAAATAAAGAATTTTAAAGCTCAGGGCTGGAGGTATAGCTCAGTGGTTGAGGGCACATACTGCTCTTCCAGAGGACCGACTTCAGTTCTCAGCATCCACGTTTGGTGGCTTACAGCTGCCCCAAACTCCAACTCGAGAAGATCAACACCTCTGGCATCCGAAGCATGCACAGACGACCCCCCCCCACAAAACCCCACACACATACAAATAATTTTTAAAAATCTCTCAAAGCCCACCTACCACTAGACTTCATGTTTCTTTAAAAAAGCAAAATTTATGCTAAAAATTGACTATATTTGGAAAATTACCTATTGTTATTATACCATTAGAAAACAAAGTCAATGAGACAATGTACAAAGGCAGAAGACATGTACATTAACAAAATTACAAAACAATCTTCATTTATATTTTGGATCCTGAAACAAATTCCATAATTTCCTCTCCCAAACTACATTTATTCTCTTAATGGGGTGGAGTTCACACCCACTCCACAGAAACAATATGATGAATACACTAGAAATATGTTAAAAGAGACACTTTAATTTTTTTCTACATTATTTTGCATGTGTCTGTGTGTTCAAGGGTGCCACAGAGTGCATGCGGTAGTCAGAGGATAACTTGTGGAGCTGGTTCTTTTCTTCGATCATGTGGGTTCTGCGGATCAAACTCAGGTTATCAAGGTTGGAAGCAAGTGCCCTTACCTACTGAGTCAACTAATCAACACATGTGTGTATGCTACATGTGTGGGGGTGCCCATAGAGGCCAAAAAAAGGTGACCGATCCTCTGGAGCTAGAGTTATAGGCAACTGTGAACCACCCAATGTGCGTACTCAAGATCTCTAGAAAAGCAACAAGGACTCTTAACTACTAAGCTCTCTCTCCAGCCCCACCCTGAAGCAGCTTCTATTAAGGAATCCAGACCAATGACTGTCTCAAAAATTGAATCTATTCATTTTCTGGTGGTGTCATTTTAGAAAGGATTTCATAACCAAATTTTACATCTAATTAATTTCCATGTAAGTTTTAGCATTCCATCCTAAATTATGGAAGGCCTATTTTATAAAATCTTAGCAGACAAGGTAAACACTATGTCATATGTAAAGGAAATAATGAATTTTACAAAATTTCCATTAAAAACCTAATAAGCCAAAATGAAATTATAACATGTACCTACTAATAATCATGGATATCCTTTTAAAACGATTACAGATTTAATGATTAAGAGTGTGCAAATTTGGCATAGTAAGTGAAACTGGCGAATTTCTTTTGGCTCTAATTTGTATATGCCCAAAAAGGTATATATCAGCCAGCAGGATTTTTTGGTAGAATTTTATTTTGAAAATATTTCACTTGAAGATTGGTCTAAAACACTTTAAGGTATGAAAATGTTATACAACTTATCTATTACAAACGAATCAGATAATTCTTCAAGTAGTACACTGTTAGCTCACCTACATAAAAAGTATTGCACATTTTCCTTGTCTTCAGATGTTACTGATGACTAAAGTATATAGAACTCCAAACTATTTTAAAGTTATTCTGTGAAATGGCAACTTTGTAAATATCAGAACTAAATGCACTGTAAACAGCCAGTTTTGGTAAACATGCATTTATTCACAGATTTATTTCCTTTAGATAAATGCATAACCGCTCAAAATTATTTAAGAACGTTATGTTGAGGTACAAGAAAGAGCACACCATACAAATCTATTTTAATCTTCGTTTTGAGGAAACACTGACCTTGGCAAAAATCTGGCATTATTTTTTAAACGAACTATTGCTGGTAAGAAAGCATATTTTAAAACTCTCTGTGCTCTGCACTTGCTTTTTTCTTTTTAAGCTAAAATTTAAAAGCATTTTGTTTCCAAAGACTTAATTATCATTGCTCAAGTGCATAATCTTTAAAAAATGGACCCTGAAAGCAGCTAAGCACTTAAGTTGAAATGCCTTGAAAGCTCCATTCTAGTCATAAATACTGACTTAATCAATGAGACCACTCATTGAGCATAATTTTTGTAAACTGACAAAAATCAGTCCATTCTGATGTTACATAACTGACAAAATCCTACATAACACAGTATTCCTTCATTGAGCTGAGGCCATATTATATTTTTTTAATATAAATAAATTTTAAATCCTATTTCTCTGGTACTCCCAAGGTGTTACACATGTTAAACAGAACTGGGTGACTATAAAAGATAGCTCCAGACTTGACTATTAGTGTCAAACACAACTGTTCATAACAAGTGACTCCACTAGTGCACTGGCCTGATTGTTTCCAGCAATTTCATTTTACAGGAGTGAACTACATTTTATACACATAGGGAATATATCACTTGAAAATCCCCAAAATGGAAGGTTAGAAAGCTGATGGCCCTCTTTCACACCATTAAAGTTGGAATTTGACAAAAGTCCATGGGCACAATTTACAAACTTTAACGAACTATTAGGTTAAAACCATTTTCTTTGGGGAAGGTGGGAGGAACTTTTAAAACCTAAAACCTGTTATACAAAATTCCAGCTGCCTTTTTATAAAAGTACGTTCCTTAGATTAAAAATCATAAAATTAAGGTGCAAGAGTTTTAACAAAAATGAACTAAAGAGCTTTATTGACATCACAGTACATTCAAGAATAATTTTAAGAACATTACAGCTGAAAGAGAATGGTATATTTATAGTCTTATTATGTACTATTTCTTGAAAAAAAAAGTAATACAAAGAAATCCTATTAAGTAACTTGAAGCAGCATTTGAAAAGTACACCTATTTACACATTAAAAAAAAATTTTCTGGTTTCACCTACATAGCCACAATGTGCCTCTATAATGAGACAAGCCCTTAAAACTCATGGAATTTTTTTAAACAGCATCGTGGCATTCTTGCCACATCATTCCTCAGCGCTTACGACGGGGAGGCGTTGTCGATCTGAGGAAAAAAAGGGAAAAGACAAAATTTAAAAATTAAAATGTATTTAGTTAAAAATCTGCAATTTAAAATAAATACTTCTATATAGGATTTCTAATATTATTTTAAAATCATTTAACAAATACCAAACTGAGTTTATTAAAAGAGAGAGAGAAGAGAAAGGACACTTTCAACTTTGAATAAATTCAAAATTTTAAAAAAATCAGACAAAATACTTTAAAAAGTATACTACCTTGATCGGGACTTAGACTTGTGTTTGCGGCTTGCCTTCTTACCAGACCTTTGAGATTTCTCCATGGACCGCGATCGACTATGTTTAGGCTTCTTAGCCTTCTTTTCTTTGCTACTTCCTGGAGATTCAGAACTGCTCCTTCCACTAGAATCAGAACCTGAATGCTTTTTACTATCTTTGGTAGTATTTTTCTTATTATCCTGTCTGGAGTCATGTCTTACGATTTTAACAGATATAGAACCACTCCTAGAGAAAGTTCTTTCACTCTCTCGTTTCCTTTTTAGCCTGTCATCCTGACTACTAAATTTAAAATCTTTTTCTTCCCTTTTTGGCTTCTCTTTTCTTTTATCCTGCTCACGTTCCCTTTCTCTATCTTTCTTTTTCCTGTCTCTATCTATACTTCGACTCCTCTCCTTTTTCCTGTCTTGTTCTTTAACCTCACCTTTATGCTTATGACTGCTCCCACTAAGATTTCCACGTTGATCCTCAATTTTACGCCTATCTCGACTCCTACTGCGACTGGAACGATTGGCTCGTCTATCCCTCGAGCGACTTCTGCTTCTACGTCTGTCTCGGGAAGGACTCCGGTTTCTTCGTCTTTCTCTTTCAATGCTACTCCTATTAGATCTCCTTCTATCTCTAACCTTTACCCTAGTCCTGTTGCTTTCTATTTTAATTCTGCGAGAGTAGCTCCTACTTCTGCTACGTCTGGCTTTCATTGCTGGAGATCTACTTCTACTATGTCTCTTTTTCCTTTTAGGAGAAGAAGAGCGAGAAGAAGTGCAACTACTACCTGAGCTGGAACTGTATGAGGAGCTAGAGACAGTGCTGCTAGTACTACTGCTTCTGCTGTTGCTGCTTGAACTACCACTGCTACTGCTTCCTGATCTACTCCTTCTCTGTTTCTCTTTTTCTTTATGCTCTTTTTTGGGTTCTAAAATCGATGTCATTTCATTTGGAGTTCTTTTCTTTTCATTGACCACATCACCATCTGCTTCTCTTGCTTCCAGAAGTGATAAACTATTTTGCTCTTTATGAATAAATTCATTCATCTCTTTTGAAACCCTTTCTGTTTGTAGCTTTTCTTCTGAAACAGAAAAAGACAAAAAGACAAAGAAAAGCTGAATAAGAAATGAAAAGCTCCCATACTACCAAATTTTAGGCTATCAGATTCTAACAATAGTTTCACCTCTAACAGAATTAAGGTACAAACCACATAAGTAATCCAAAACTTTCTAGCAGCCACATTAAAAAGGTAAAAAGAAACAAGCGAAATTAATTTCCCTATTAACCCAACATTTATTATTCCAACATTGAATCATTAAAAAATAGTGAGACACTATTGTTTTTCATAGAATTTGTACAAAATCAGGTACTATCTACCTACAGCACACTCAGTTGAGAGCTAGCTATGTTTCAAGTACTCAATACTCCATGCAGTTAGCTAGCTACCATTTTGCACAATGGAGTTAAGAGTAGCAATTTTGCAGGAGTGGATATGACAGAAGATTTCCCTTTGTTCAGCCAGGGCAAATAAAAGATAGGCAGTGTTTCTTAGAAAAATTTTAAAGGATCTTAATTTCCCTAAAATCTGTCCAAATAAGATTTTTCAAAAAATGCATTCTAATACTCTTTCATTATTCCTACTATTATCATGGAAACAGTTAAAAACTATACTTATATGTAAAGGATTTTAAATAAAGCATTTCTAATCTTCTATTTTCCCTAAACATCCTAGGTACTGTTCAGGAGTTCTACAAATATACTGTTATTTCAAAAGTCTTTGCTTTCATTTCAATAATTTTAATATGAAACAAAGATAATCTAAACAGCTTGGCTTACAGTGACTGAGATGAATGGCTTTTACAACAAAGTTAAAGTAAAAACACTGTGTTTTTGCTCTCAGCTATCCACATTATTATAATCAAGCCTCCAGTTCTATCCTTCGATATTTTTACTTTCTTTTAAAAATAAAAGCACATATAAAACTAAACAAAAGCTACACAAATCTAAAAGATATACCTTCCATCTGTTTATCTTGTAATAGCTGCTGTTCTTTTTCTTTTCTCCAAAAAGCTTCCTGTTTTTGCCGGATTCGGTGCCGTAATTCTTCATCGTCAGTGTCAGATGACTCAGAGCCTCTGTCAGTCCTCTCATCTTCACTGTCTCCTGATCCATAACCACCCAGTCCACCTGTGTGCATAAAGCTCAATCTATCACATGGAAAAATTACACTATCCACTAAAAACTTTTTAAGGTCCGAGAAGAAAGCTCATTTCTTTTTTCATTGCCTTTTCCTGGAAGAATATGCTTATTCAGGGTGGGGAGAAGCATAAATTCAACTGTGTTCAGAATCCCAGGCAATAGCTATAATTAGTATCTTATTCTTTGGATTTATTTCCCAATTTCTTGCCACTATGGAATCATAACAATGGCTTTCTTTTACTGTCCTACTAATCAAGAAAATTATTTAACAGGACAACAATAAAGCCTTACTAAAGCTTAACCAATTCAACTTCTGTAATAAAATTTCAGATGACTATGAAAATATTTCTAAAGTTAATTCTTTCATTGTTCAACCTTTTCTAAGTTCAGGTAGGAGGCTAAGCAAATTTTCTCTAAGAAAATTAGAATACTATAATTCTCAACAGTATAGAAATGATGTGAATTACTCCCCACCGAGAAATGATCTAAATAGTAATCATAACAAGATTACATGGGCATTTTATTCTACCCATTCTCATGTTCCTCACAGAAATTAATAAGAAATGAAGATGTGGAAAAGGCAAATTCAAGCTTTAGAATCTTAGTAATGTATCATGCAAATAGAAAACTATGAACATATCACTATTGTTTTAAGATAAACCCGTTTCTTCTATGTTGAAGCTTGGTTTGATGCAACACAATTCATGTAAGTCATTAAAACCATTCCTATATAATTCCTCTAAGTATGTATGCAGTGATTTTGAAAGGGACTTTATCATAGCTAAATCATTAAATACAAATTATGTATATTATACTTTATAATATACGCATTGGAGCAATTAATGAGGAAATCCTTCATTCAACTTGCCCCAATAAACTAAATTAGCTATCACATTTAAAATCATTCTACTATGAATACATTAGTTAAAAAAAAAAAAAAAAAAAAAGATAAACCTTTTAGAGACTGATATAACCCTGAAATCTAAGCTTTATAAGCTAGGTAGGAATAGTCCATTTTCAAAACAGAACAAGTACAGAGACAAGGTAAGTGTGCTTTTTCCCTTTAGGCCCTCTCACAAATAAGGAAAACACTTACCGAGTCCAGTGAGGGAAGCCAGTGCACTGGACTGTGCCAGCTGTTTTGCAGGAGCTTTGTATCACATCAACAACAGGAACAACATGTTAACACAAATAGCCACGATTTCATAGTCATGAGAGTCTATGGTATTGTTAAATCTACTACTAGTGCTGCTTTTTGGGGAGAAAAGAAACATTAAAAACATAACAGTCATTTGAAACCAGTAGTATGTCTGGCTTTGAAATTACAATTCTGATGTGAGCTGAAATTGGTTTATGATGAGGAAGAGGTAACTATTATCTGTATTCCCTTCTGAGATATTGCACACAATTTTTATTTTCAGTATTTTTAAGTGTTACTAAAATTGTGGGGGAAGGTGCTTTGTAAGAATTATAACTGACAAAACTAAAAACTCCAAGGTTCATAATTCAAAATTCATTGCCAAATGTATCAAAACCCACATACCATTACCACGATATCTATTAAAAAAGAAAATCAGGTGAAATAAATTGAGTATCAGGAATTTTCCACAATGCATTTTAAAGGACAACAGCATGAATGCTATTTGTGTTCAGGTCAGATAAAGCAAAAATATTTGTATAGTTTCAATTTGGTATATAACAATCTAATCTTTCCTAAATAGTTAAAACATGCAAGTAGAGAATATTTAAATATTTGATAGAAATCCAGAGGACAACAACAGAAAAACCAAAATAGTCAATGAAGCCAAAATCCCCACAAAAACAAAAAAGCAAGAACACCCATAATATACCTTTTGTTGCTTTCCGATGTGCATCTTTGGCTACATAATAAATTTCTTCATCTGTGACGTCCAGCAGAATTTCAGTTAGAAGCATTTTTGTCAGCAACATCTAAAAAGTGAGTATTTTATATTGTGTCAATATACTGACAATATTGTATGTTGGCTTATATTATAATTAACTTTTTTTTTTTGTTTGAGAAAACTTCAACATTATAGGTACCAAAAAGCAACTATACATTTGAGCTTGTGGTAGTATACACCTCTAATTCCAGCAAAGCCAGATCCTGTCTCCAGTAAAAAGTATATATTTATCTATAGAGACACCAAATCTTATTCTAGAATCAAAAAGTAAAAAGTTTCTATTAACAAAAATGTCCAGGGCTGAGGAGATGGCTTAGTGGGTAGAGTAATTACTCCAAGCACAATGACCTGAGTTTGGATGCCCAGAACCCATGGGAAAAGCCAGGAGTGGTAGTATACACCTGTAATCCAAGCTCTGGGAGGCAGAAACAGGAGGACTGTTGGAGGCTCACCGGCCAGCTGGCCAGCCAGTCTATTCTATTAGTGCCAGGTTCAGTGAGAGACTTTGTCTCAAAAAATCCTGATGTGGTGGCACATCCCAGTACTTGGGAGGCAGAGACAGGAGGATCTCTGAGATGGAGGCCAGCCTGGTCTACATAGCGAGTTCCTGGCCAGCTGTTGCTACAGGGAGAGGCTGTCTCAAAAAGACCAATAAATAAATAAATAAATAAATAAATAAATAAATAAATAAATAAATAAATAAATAATAAAATAAGGTGAACAGCAACAGACACCTGATGTCAACCTCTGGCACAGGGAGATCCTGTCTTAAAAAGACCAACAAATTAATTAGTAAGTGAATAAATTAATTAAATGATTAAGGTAAATAGTAACAGACACCTGATGTCGACCTCTGGCCTCCACACATGCATTCATGTACACATGCACACATACACACACATTTCCATAGGAGATTTAAGTTGAAAGGAGTACCCTCCTTTCATTGAACAATATTGGTAAACATTCTAATACCAGTTTCAAGTCACTCAAGGTTAAGGAGGAAATAAGAGAAAAAGGACAATGGTGTTCTGTTCTGCCAGGTAAAGTTCTTTCATTCTAGGCTAGTATAATATACTTTTAAACTATTACAATATCGTAACATAAAACGGGAAATTCAGGGGGCTAGAGATAGCTCAGCAGTTAAGAATATTGGTTGTTCTTGTAGAGGACCTGGTTTGGTTCCCAGCACCCCGGTGGCTAACTGCCCATAACTCCTGTCCCACGGGATCCAATGCCCATTTCTGACCACCGTGAGACTGTATGACACAGGTGCACTTATATACTTATTTTTCTGCATATTTACTTCATCATTCTCAATAATTTAAAAGTAAAAAAAAAAACTTTAAAAAAACTAGAAAATAATAGATCAAGGAATGTTCTCCTGGGTCTCATGCACTAAAACAGTTAAATTTATTATTATTGGTGTGTCTGTGTGTCTGTGTGTATCTGTGTATGTAGGCCAGCACCCATCACAGCTTCTGTGTAGAGGTCAGAGGACAACTTTTGGGAGTCAGTTCCTTCCTTCCACCATGAGTTCTGAAGATTGAACTTAGAACATCATCAGGCTTGTGTGACAGCACTTTTATCCAGTGAACCATCTTGCTGACCCAGTAAAGCATTGTTTAATTTTATTGTTATTAAGAAACAGGCTTAATAACTTTACAGTCTGTCATTTTGTATTTTATGAATTATCTAGATATTTAGGAGGTAGAAAAGGTGCTTAGAAATAATATCTGAATTACTTATACATGCTTTACTTAGCAAATATATACATGAATAAATACTTCATAATTGTTTCAGAGTTCTCAGTTTAAATTTTAGATAGCTGCTCAGTAACTCTAAACAATTATAAAGAGAATAGATCCTTCCAGTGTTGAGAAACACCATTTTACCATTTGATACTCTTTCTCTTCTTCAGTCATCTCTGGCTCACTGTGCTCTTCTTGGGGAACTGGAGATGGACTTCTGCTGACTTTACCACTGCTCACAGCCTCAATATTTTCAGCATCTTCATCCTCTTCATCACTATCCTATAAAAAGAGTATGGAAACACAAATGTATGCTTATATTATTATAATATAAAATATAAAATATATATAATAAAAATATATATAATAGAAAAATAGAAAAAATAATATATAATATAGAAATAATATAAATGTACATTATTTTTATTTTATGTGTGTATGAGTGTTATGCCTGCATGTAGGTAAATGCACCCATGTCATGCAATACCCGCAGAGCATAGAAGGGACTGTCAGATTCCCTGGAACCGGAGTTACGGACAGTTGTTAGCTGCCATGTAGGTGCTGGGATTCGAACCTGGGTCTTCTGCAAGAACAATTGGTGTTCTTAACCGCTGAGCCATCTCTCCAGCCCCTAAATCCAGTCTCTTTAAATTACATTTTGAAGTTTTTTTACTTATAAAAGTTACATTGTCTATTTCAGACAAACATAATTTTTTCAATCATTTTTCCAAAATATTTTTTCTTTCTTAAAAAGGGTCTTTTTCTGTAGCCCAGATGGCTTCAGACTCATGAGCAGCCTCAGCCTATAGAGTACTGTAGTTACAGCATGTACCACCACATTCAGCTCTATATCTCTATTACATATTTCATTTCATAATCTAACATATAACCTGGAAAAGAATGGAAGGTTATAAGATGGTTAATGAAAATCAATTTTCTTTTCCTTTCATAAATTTTGGCCTATTTTGTAAATAACCAGGAAAACAACATGTCCAGATATGACTCAGTGACTATCTTCCAGAAATGAATGGCTTGTAGAACTCTGGAAAAATGGACCAAAGCTTAATTTTCACAGCTATATACCTATTTATCTAAAAAATGTCTTAAAATGGACAGGTGTGGTGGTACAGGTGAAGCCAGCCTGGACTACACAGCAACTTCCAGGCCAGCTGTCTGGACAGTAGTTTCCAGGATAGCCTGTGCTACATAGAGTTACAGGCTAGCCAGAACTACACAGTGAGTTCCAGGCCAGCCAGGATTATAGTTAAGACCTGTCTCAAAATTAAATACAAACAGCCAGGTGTGGCAGTGCACACCTGGCTCAGCACCTGAGAGGCAGAGGCAGGCGGATCTCTGTGAATTCAAGGCCAGCCTGGTCTACAGAGTGAGTTCCAGGCCAGCTGGGGCTATGGGGAGACCCTGTCTCAAAAACATCCCCCCACAAAACAAAACAAAAAGACATATTAATAATAAATGATTTCTGGTCAGTTCCAAGAGCTCTCAACTTGCCCTGCCTGAAACTAAGTTGCTTCTTTTTGGCTACAGGACAGACAGACACAAAAGAAATTAGGTCTACTTCAGGTTGAGAAAATGCCAACAATTCGTCTTTGTACAGTTGTAGTAGCAAGATACCATATTCTAAAAGGGAACCCCCCTACCCCTTAGTCAGATGCATCCTATGTCACTTTTGTAACTGTACTGTACTAAGAGATCACCTAAACGCTATCATGCATAGACTACTGGAATCAGGACAAATAAATTTAACAAGTCCAAAGGCATTTAGGAAGACAGAGAGAAAACAATCTCTAAACAAACAAAAAAACCCAAACCAAAAGCAAACCAACCAAAACAATAGTCTAGAGAGCTATTTTATGTAAGGCTGCAGTTTGTTTCTTAGTTTCTTCTCTTTTTCTTCTTTGCTTTTTTGAGAGAGGGTCTCTCTGTAAGCCCTAGCTGCCCTGGACTTGCTATGTAGATCAGGCTGGCCTCCATCTCACAGAAATCCATCTGCCTCTGCCTCCTGAGTGCTGGGATTAAAGGAGTATGCTACCACACCTGGCTCTTTTACTTTCTTTAAGAAAAATAAACTAATAGAATTTTTTTCTGGTCATTCTTATTTTAATAACATTTAAAACAAAATGGGTCTTTTGAGACAAAAAATACTGATGATGTTTATAAGCAAAACCATATATACCAAAATCCTGCTTTGAGTTTTATTTCTCCTTGAGACAAAAGACTCATTTCCTACATTGCAAACTGGTGATTTGGCTTTCACATGAGCTAGGAACCTATTACTGTAGAATAGAATTCCTACACCACTCATGCCACCTAACTGATGACTAAATACTTAAAGGGACTTAAAACCTTGTACTTTCACTGCTCATGTCAAAAACAATGAAAACTACTAAAGCCTCAGTTGAAAGCATGTATTTAAATGTCTACTGAGGGACTGGAGAGATGGCTCAGTGGTTAAGAGCATTGGTTGCTCTTTCAGAGGACCTGGGTTTGGTTTCTAGCATCTGTATGTCAGCTAACATCCCTGCCTAACTCTATTTCCAAGAGATCAGACACCTTCTTCTAGCCTTTGCAAGGCACTGCACAACACAGGTGCATTTACGTACATGCATGCAAAACACTCGTACACATAAAAATAAACCAAAAAAAAATTTAGTATCTATGGCAGATTCATTTCCTTACTGCCATTTAACATAGTTTTGTTTTGCTGCACCATAATATATATATGTATGTGTTTGCTAAGTAACATAAAAACTACATGGAATATCATAAGGCACAAAAAGTTTTATAAGGCGCTGGAGAGATGGCTCTGCAGTTAAGAGCACTGGCCACTTTTGCAGAGGAGCTGGGTTTTAATCCCAGCTAACAACTGCTCATAACTCCAGGGGATCCAACGCCCTCTATTGACCTCTGTGGGCGCTGACCGACACGGGTGCACTAACACACATGCTGGCAATACACTCACACAGATAAAGGAAAAATAATAAATAAAATATACAAAGTTTTACTGCTACCCCCTTTTCCCTCACCTGCCCTCAATACCATATAAAAATCACAAACCCCACTAGGTATGGTGGCACGCACTTGAAATCCAGTACTTGGGACAATAAAGCACTAGGATAACGAATTCAAGACCAGCCTAAGCTATAAAACAAGATCCCATGTCAACAAAATAAAATGAAACAACAAAAACCCCAAGCCTCATTGTACTTACTCCAACAATACTTAGCAACATTAATATTTTCCTGTAGGCGCAAGTAATTTTTTACCCAGACAAAATGATCAGTGTCATGTCAGACTCTACTTACAAATTTACTTCTCTGAGGTAGACGAGGGCCATCTCCTCCTTCAGCATCTTCTGTGGCCTTCTTTTCTTTTTTTGACAACTGTGAACGTTGTTGTTCCATTCTTTCCTTCTCTAATTTCTTCTGCTTTTCACGTTCCATTTTCTCAAGACCTTCACGAATCCAAGCTGGAAGAGTCCTGCGCTTTACAGCATCTGTTTCACACAGAAAAAAAAAAAAAAAAAAATTACAAGTCAGTTAAGTAAAAATCCTAATAAACAAATGAGTTCTTTCATCCTGATTTTTCTACAAATTTCATAAGCAAAAGCAAAATGTATCAACATTGTGCTTTAAAAACTATTTCTTTAAATACCAGCAGGGAACATGTTCTAATGCTTACAATTTGTCAGGGCACAACAAAAGTTCATTAAAGTGTCACCTCATTTACTCCATACAAAAGCCCTGGGAACACTACTATTATTCGATCTCTTTCGTAGGTGAAGAAACTGAAGCTCAATGAGATAAAGCGATGTGCCAAAAGTTAAAAAGCCAATAAATCATGATGTGGGCTAATTCAGAGCCAAATTCTTATACTAAGCTGCTTCCTAAAACATGAAAACAGAGCAGAGTCAAACAAAGGCAGAGTCCGTTTTCACACTAAGAATTCATCCAGTTAAAGTTTAAAAAAAAAAACAAAAAACCCCAGCCAAGTTAGAAGCCTCCTAATATGTAAAAAGAAAAGGTTTACTCTCTGGTCCATTAAATGGTAGGTGATTTGAAAGCTTCTAGATATAACACGGAATACAAAACTTGTCATTAAGCAATAGGCTAGCTTTAACATGTTAATTTAAAAGCTGAAATTTTTTTGCTAAAGTACTTATAAGAAATGAACTAATAAAAGGAAACTAATCTGGCAGCAGTGTATCTCATAAACTAAGAATGTAGCGATATCCAAGACAGAACACTGAAATGTTAACACTGAAGATGCTACAATCAGCAAAAACCTACATTTTATCACAAACCACTATTTAAGGTAAATAGTTAAAGAAAACTACTCAATACCGTTTACATTTTAGATCATGATCTTTAAGATTTTAGGGTTATAACTGACCATAAAATAATAGGGTTTTAAAACTATCATTTTTACGACATCAAGGCACTAGAAGAAGTTAAGAAATTAAAACATGTTTTTTACAGTGATAAAGACATTATGCCAATGTAGTTCATAAAATTTAAATAGCTACCAATCTGTGGAGGCTCCTGCTTCACAGGGAGTGCAATAGGCGAACGCTGCCGATCCCTGAAAGAAGACGGCCGTTCCCTTCTATTCTGTGGAGGTGCTGGAGGTCCTGGAGGTCCTGGTTGCCAATAAGGAGGATGAAATCCACCTTGCGGTGGACCAAAAGCAGCCCCATGCTGAAAGAGTATTGCATTTTATTTTTCTTCAATTTAATACAATACCCTCTGGGACACACGTGTGTTATGAACTGGGACACTAGAAATCCATGTGTTCAGGAAATCCAAAAATTCCCTGGCTCTAATATCTACCGATATTTCTGTAGCCCCAAGAACCTAGGCTTGCTTTTCTTATGAAAGATAAAGATTTTCTGCCTGTGCAAATAAAAATAGCATTCTATAAGCCAGCTGATACACTGGCTTATATTTTACACTATATTTCCAATATAGAAAAGACACACACATATACAATTTTGTGTATGTGTGTGTGTATATACATATATAACTTTTCATTCAGAATTCATTTATAAGCCCTAACACTAAGACATCAAATACGTATCAATTCTTTTCTTTCTCTTTTTTTAATTTTTATTTTATGTGTATGAGTGTATTGCCTACATGTATGTGAGAGCACCCGGGCCGTGGAGAGCTTCAGAGTCCCCTGGAACTGGAGTTAAGGACAGTTCATCTGCCATGTGGGTGCTGGGAATCGAACCAGGGTCCTCTGCAAGAGCAGTCAGTGCTCTTAACCACTGAGTCATTTCTCCAGCCCTTCTCTCTCTAAGACAAGCTCTTGCTATGTAGCTCTAGCTAGCTTTGAATCTGCTATGTGTGCAAGGCTGATCTCAAATTCAAGAGCCTCCTGCCTCAGCCTCAGAAGTGCTGGGATGACAGGATGTTGCTACCATATCTGGTTAATTTTTTTTTTTTGTAACTAAAAACTACAGGAAAATCTTTTGATCAATTTCATTTTCCTATTTATAGCGATTCAAGTTGTTTCTAAAATGCTACAAGATGTATTTATTTATAATTCCCCAAAAGGTAGTAAATTATTATAGTAAATTTTTATTTTGCAAATCTGCTATTTTCAGGGGCTTTTTTAAAAGCCAGCTGCCAATTAAGCTCTTTGCCTTATTAGCATGGGATTCAACAAGCAACACTAGGGTAAGGAACTCCTTGTCACTTCATCTTCATAAATAAAACAAAAACTACGTATGTGAATTTCCAAGTGTGAGGATACAAGAATCTGACTATATATTAATGAGAGAAATACTATCTCAAGTGAAGAGTCTGTCAAATTTACCTTAGAATTAGGGCTTACATATATGCAGTTTCTCAAAATTTTAAACTATTACTGTTCTGTTCATAAAATAACTGCAATCAGTTATTTCTCAATGATTATCTAGTATAATTTAAGGGTAAACCCTAGCAAAGCAGATTAAAAAAAATAAAGCCCCTACAATAACACTATCCCATAGAGTTCTATGTCCCTAGGAATGAGTTGGATGTTACAAAGAAAATCACGTACAATTCCATTAACATGCCATGTAAGAATGAAAAAAAAAAAACACAAAAAACCCCAAAAACAAAAACACTGAGAAACTGTAATAATTCTACATAGAAGGGACTGCAGTTAGGAAAATATCTATCTATATTCACTGTGCTTTACTCATGTCTTGTAATCTATTATTGACAATGCATTCAACTACTGTGTATTTTCTATACCTTAACATTTAACTATATCCCTCTGAAATTGGAAAACAAGACATCATGTAATTATTTGCACTTACACAGTTTCCATTTTATCCAAATTTTTTCCTAATGATTCTTTATATCATTTTCCTAATCAACTAAAAATCTAATAATTTTAATACCGATATCTTGATAATTTTCTGAGACATTGTTTGTGCTTATTCGTACAACTCTTAAAAATGAAACACAACTTAGGAACTCTTGATGAGACACTTGCGAAGAATGAGTTATGTGCACATCTATGATATTAAAGTAACAAAGTATCTTTCACCTGATAGTCAAACTGGTTCACTGGCCCCACTGCAAAATTATCGGGTGGTCCACCAAAGTTGTGATTGTTCTGGTTAAATATATGCCTGTTGTCAGGGGTAAATTCCCCACTGTCCTGACTGTTGCTGTCTTCAGAAGGAGGAACAATGTCCATTGGGCCTGGTGTTGGTGGCATCCATGGCTGATCTGGAGGGGGGTGTGGGGGCTGCTGATGCATTCCCCATTCTATTCAGGATTTAGGCATAAAAACATTCAACAGGGAGTTACAACAAAATCAACACAAACTTTTAAGATCTCAAGAAAGCTAGAGAAAATAAAAACACAGATTTTAAAAAGCAACTCATAACAACAAATTAAAAAGTATCTCATAAATAATTCAATGAACTAATTCCATTCTAATTCACACTCTAAACAAAATGCCCAAAATTATTTTGTTTTGATATTTTGAGACAGAGTCTTGCTACGTAGACAAAGCTAACCTGGAAATGGCCTTAAACTTGAGTTCCTTCTGCCTCTGTCTCCCTTGTGCTGGGATTACATGCACATGCCATCACATTCAGCTCCCAAAAGCATTTTTAATGAATGTAACAAAATCCAAAGCAATTTTTGGTTGAACTGCTCTATTTCTGTACAATAATCACATCATAAAAATAATACTTTAAAATTTGATATAATTTCCTTTTTCCATGAACATATTTATCCTCACAACAACCCTGTGAGGTAGGGAGTATTCAGGTATGATTTTTGTCAATTTCAGAAGGGGAAACTAAAGCACACAGCAGTTAAGTAAGTTTCCCAGAGTCACAAAGAAAGCCAATAAGGTAAAACTGGGGATGAGAGTAGAGGGAATACGATGCCAGGATGGATTATAAACTTGGGAACTAAAAACATTTTCAAACTTGGAAAAATTTGTCTTTCCAAAGGACAGAAATGAATCACCTCACAGTATCAAAAATGAGAATATTTGTTATTCTTTTCAAACTAATATTATGGAATTTCTTCCTGTGTTTTCCATTCATAACAGTAATACGAGAAATAAAAATTGCAAAAGGAGGATATGACTTCATCATCAGTATACCCAAATGTGAAATTTCTCTAGTGTTTGAAGTGGTTATTAAAAGTAAGCACAACCACAGAGAACTGAATTAGCATTAAGGAATCTAAATCATACTGTGAAGTAATAAAATCAAACCAAAAATAAAACAGATGAGAACTTAGGGGAAATCATCACTATCTGAAAAAAGGGGAAGAAGGTGGGTAGATGGTAGGAGCAGAGTAAATTTGATAGACTTATTTGTCACAGAGTGACAACTTTTCTTTAATTAGAGGCTAGACATGTTTTACTCTGCCAGTGCTGCTTCTGAAAACACCAGAGGTTGAAACAGAGAGACAAAGAATGCTCTCTTCCCTAGATGCCAAGTGAGGTTTCCAGAAGTGTTCCCAGCCCCTGTCAGCCTAGGAATGAAGAATCAAGAAAAAAAAAGAAAATCAAACCAAATGCCACAATGCTAGCAGACTGTGCACAGAATAATTTTAGCCACAAAAATGTCAAGATCAAATCAAACTGAGAATGCCTATTTTTTTAAGAATTAATTTCAATTAGTCATAAAAGTAAATTAAGCATTTTACTAATCCTCATTTTATTTCAAAAAGTCTTAAAATTTGGAAAGCATAAACAACAAACCTGGTTGCCACATTCTGTTAAAATTTGAATCCCCTTGAAAGTTAGAATGACTATTTGGACCAGATTCCATTGTAGCCATGTCCTGTCCATTTGGCATCATTCCTGGTGGTTGTTCTACGATGCTCTGCTGTCCTGAAGCTTCTCTTTGGGCAATCCAGGCTTGAGCCAAAGCAGCCCAGTCAATCTGGCCTAATGTAAATTAACACAGAATTTAGCATTCAGAATTTAGGCACTTAAGAAACAGTAAAACAAGTATCTCAATCATTCTGCCTTTTTCCTTCTTTTCATGTGCATGTCTGCATATGTATATGTAGGTATGTGCACACGCATGTACATCCATTTGGAGGACTGAAGTCATTAACGGGAACCTTTCCTTTACTGATCTTCTATCATATTCTTTGAGGCAGGGTCTTTTTTTTTTTATTTAAATTTTTATGTGTATGAGTGTATTGCCTGCCTGTATCTAAGTGTACCCGTGTCATGCAATGCCCTTGGAGATGAGAAGAGGGTGTCAGATTCCCTGGAACTGGAATTATAGGTGGCTGGAAGCCCCATGTGGGTACTGGGAATCGAACCTGGGTCTTCTGCAAGAGTAGCCAGTGCTCTTAACCACTGAGCCATCTCTCCAGTCCTGAGGCAGAGTATTTCAGTCAAACCCGGAGTCATGGACAAGGCTAGGTCTCACTAGTCAATTTGCTCAGTGATTCCTTTCAGTCTTCTGAGGCTGGAATTACAGGTAGACCACCATACTCACCCAGCATTTTACATGAGTTTCAGTCCTCTTGCTTGCATGGCAAGTGTTAACAGCTGAGCCACTTCTCTAGCCGACCCCTTTAGCTTTCCTCTCTTTCTCCTTCCTTCCTCTCCACTTTCTCTTATTCCTTCCTTCCTTCGATTACTTCTTAGTACAGATTTTTAACTAGTATATAGTTATGCCTATAAGGATGCTTAGAAATAATCCATATTCAGGTCAGAACATACATGAGTTTCAAAAAAGGACTCCACAAAACCACTTAACCCATTCTAATATTATTTCATAGGGAATTTATGGCCTTGTATCTTAGTTTACTGAGTGTTTTAAAAGTCACATACTTTTAAAAACAACTATAAAATGAGTCCCATGCCTTTGACCCCAGAACTCGGAGGTGGAACTCCGTGAATTCAAGGCCAGCGTGGTCTACATAGTGAGTCCCAGGTCAGCTGGGGCTACAGGGAGATCTTGTCTACAAAAAAAACCAAAACCAAAATCCAAAAAACAAACAACTATAAAATTAACAAATTCAGTACTTTCTTCTTCATAATACCCTATTCTTTCCAGGCCTGCCTTTGAGCCTACAAACCAGGGATTAGTGTAACTGTCTATCCCTCTTCTTCCTCACCACGGCCCTTCTTTAAGGCTCACTGCTGTAAACAAAACATATCTCTTTTTATTTTGTATTTTATTTATTACTTTTATTTTATGTGTATGAGTATACTGCCTGCATGTATGTGAGTGCATCCGTGTCGTGCAATGCCATGGAAGTCAGAAGAGGGTGTTGGATTCCCCTGGAACTAGAGTTAAGGACGGTTTGTAGCCACCATGTGGGTGCTGAGAATGAAACCCAGGTCATCTGCAAGAGCAGTCAGTGCTCTTAACCACTGAGCCATTTCTCCAGCCCCTAAACACATCTCTTTAACAACGTTTCTGCTCAAATTAATTTCCCTTACTACCTTAAAGATCTGAGGTTTCTTTCCTTTCCAAATATCTCTATTAACATTGTAATCATAAACAAAGCAGAATAAGATATTTTTCACATTTTAGTAAAGGTTAAATAAACATTCTCATTCATTTTTATCAAAACATAAAACTGACATAACCTGCATATATGGAGTTAAACTTCGCTATGTGTATCTAAAACTTCCCAACTCTCTACAACTGTGACCTAGCAAACCAATCTCTTTGGGAAAAAAAACCACAAAAAAACCCAAAAACAAGTGACTAATATTACGTATGCCAGATTATGCTAATTGTTTTAAATATGGAAAGCTATAAACAATCAAATATTTGGGGCTGGAGAGTTGGCTCAGCGGTTAAAAGCACTGACTGCACTTGCAGAGGACCCGGGTTCAATTCTCAGCACCCACATGGCGGCTACAAACTGTCCTTAACGCCAGTTCCAGGGGAATCTGAAGCCCTCTTCTGACTTCCGCAGCACTGCACAACATGGGTGCACTCACATACATGTACACAATACACTCGTACAGATAAAATAAAAATAATGAAATATATAAAAAACAACAACAAAACCAATCAAATATTCAAGTGGGTTTTTAAAATCTATATATTACAGTACAACCCTACAACAGAATGCCATGTAGCTATTTAAAAAGATACCGTTTAGGCCGGGCGTGGTGGCACATGCCTTTTATCCCAGCACTTGGGAGGCAGAGGCAGGAGGATCTCTGTGAGTTCAAGGCCAGCCTGGTCTCCATAGCGAATCTAGGCCAGCTGGGGCTACAGAGAGACCCTATCTCAAAAAGACAAAAAAAAAAAAAAAAAAAAAAAAAGATACTGTTTAGCTGGTCAGTTACTCAAATGAACTCAAGGCAATGGTGACAGCATGCATAAATCCTATGTGGCTCAAACCAGACAAAATCCCAGTGGATAAGAAATCCCAACCCAACCTAAGGATTTTGATAACTGATGGCTGCTGGAAGCAGGGGAAAAGAGTATCATATAGGGATGGGATTCTTGATGGGCCCAGCAGACAAACTCACACTGAAGGACATTTGGGGACACAAATCAGACTCTATAGGCCATATTATATACATGAGAGTACGTGAATTTGGGTGCGGAGCAGTGGGAAGAGGTATAAACAGAGGAGGGGATCTAAGTATCATAAAATTATCTTGTATGAAAATCGCAAAAATTCAGTAAAAAAATTTAAAGAATAAATAAATAACTAAATAAACAAATAAATAAATAAAGGAACAGTGGGCTAAGTGTGATAGCAAACATATGTAATCCAGTACTTAGGAGGTGGACATAAGAGCACTATGAGTTTGAGGCTAGCCTATATGTTCTAAGTTAGCCTGACCTACGCTGTAAAGCTGTTCAAAAAAAATTCCAGTAAGGATAGAGCAATGCAACTTGTCATACGAATGAAACAAAATAGGCCATAAACAAAACTATTAACTATAAGTTAAGTCATAAACGTGGGCTCCCTGTATCCTTCTTTTATCTCTATATTCTTGAGGTACTCCATAGTAAAAAGAAAATTTTAAATGACATAGAATGATGAGGGTTGAGGAGATGGTTCCCTTGATAAACTGCTTGCCACATAAAGATGAGAACCTGAGTATGGATCTCAGGAGCCCACATACAAGCCAGATATTGCAGTGCAGATGTGTAACTGCAGCACTGTGAAGGGGGAAGACCGGCAGATTCCTAGAACTTGCTGACCAGCCAGTCTAGCTGAATCAGTGAGCTCCAGGTCCAATCAGAGACCTTGTCTCAAAAATAAGGTAGAGAGTAACTGGAAAACACCTGATGAAAGCATCTCTGGCCCTCACATGCAACATGTATCCATACCTACTCTGTATGTGAACAACACAGAAGCACATACAAACATACACACGCAAACTGATAAAGCATAAACCACAATTAAATATAATCTAATTGCAATATTCAGAACAACAGGAATATGTAACTTAAGCAACAAATTTTATACTTTTTCTTTAGAAAAAATAAACTATTATCAGTGTGAAAATGTAAAATTGTCACAAAGCTTCCTACCCTTCAAGAAAGCATTTCGAGCAGTAATAAATTTCTTATAACTAGCAAGGCAAATTCTGTCTATAATAAGCCAACCCTAACTACCACCTATGTCCGCCCCATCTCCAAATGTCCACATTCAGTCTTCTGCTTACTTGGGTCCTGCTGGTGCTGGAATGACTGCATCCACTGCTGCTGGTTCAGGGGCCACTGCTGCCAGGGCTGTCCTCCTTGGTCCCACATCCTTCCTCTAAGTTTCTATCTTCAACAAATTAAAAACACAGTTTAAAAATTACATGTGAGGCTGGGCATGGTGGTGCATGCCTTTAATCCCAGCACTTAGGAAACAGAGCGAGGTGGATCTCTGTGAGTTCCAGGCCAATTGGGACTACAGGGAGACCCTGTCTCAAACAAAACAAAAAAATCCCCCCAAAAAACTTTACACATGACTTTATATACTTGAAAAACTTACACATCAGAAATTATATTTTACATGACAAGAGCTCTATAATTATATTCAGTGTGTTCCCAGAGGCAACTAGAATTTTAGATTAAAAAAAAATAGAAAAATTTAAGTTAATGCTGATGTTAGAGTTGGTGGCAACTATAACTCTAATCAACTAGACTCAAAGAAGGCGTGTGTGTGTGTGTGTGTGTATGTGTATGTGTGTATGCACAATTTTTCTGAATATGTCTCTAGAAATCCAATTTTTGAAATTTATTTTTATTTTAAATGTATGAGTGTTTTGCCTGCATGTAAGTGCACCCACGACATGCAGAGCCCTCATAGGCCAGAAAAGGGTGTTAGATCACTTAGAACTGGAGTTAAGGATGGTTTTAGCCACCAAGTGGGTGCTGGAAATCAAACCTGGGTCCTCTAGACGATCAGCCAGTGCTCTTAAAGTCTGCCATCCCTCCAGGCCTAGAAATCCAATTTTTTAATGATTATAAGAAAAAAGTGACTTATTCAACCCCATCCGAAATTCCTTTAAAAGAGTCACAAAATAGGTCTAGCAGATGAAGGAAAGTTCTTCCTATAATTACAGCTAAAAGGAACTAAAGAATGGATTAGAAGTTAAAAACACTTGCTGTTCTTCCAGAGGATCCAGGTTCAATTCTCAGCACCCAAAGATCAGCTAATAACTGTCTGTAACTCCAGTTCCAGAGGATCTGATGCCCTCTCTGGCCTCTGCAGGCATTGTGTGCATGTGGTGCACTTACATGCAGGCAAAACACTTATACACAAAATGAAAATAATTTTTTAAAATAAAAAATAATTATAGCCGGGGCTGGAGAGATGGCTCAGTGATGAAGAACACTGGCTGTTCTTGCAGAAGACTGGGGTTTGAATCTCAGCACCCACATGGCAGCTAACAACTGTCCGTAACTCCAGTTCCAGGGGATCTGACAGACTCTTCTGTCCTCTGCGGGTGTTGCACGACACGGGTGCACTTACATGCAGGTATAACACTCAAACACATAAAATAAAAATAATAAAATATTATAGGGGCTGGAGAGGTGGCTCAGCAGTTAAGAGCACTGACTGCTCTTGTAGAGCTTCTAACTTCTGTGGCATTGCACGACACGGGTGCTCTCACATACACACAGGCAATACACCACTCATACACATAAAATAAAAATAAAATATTTTAAAAAAATTATAGCTAATAAACGCAGAATATAGAAAACTGCTATAATGTCAAATCTAATACCTGATTCAGAAAACTTTAGGAAAGTTGATGAGAAATCAGAAATTTAAAAGCTGTTAAAATGTCACCCACAGATTATGAAGTGTTTATAACATAAAGAATTATATTTGCAGAAGTTATGAATATTCTTATCACTGAATTCAACTTCCAGAATAAAAAAATTAGAGGTTAAATGAATAACAATACAAATAGCCAGAAAATGCTTCATTTTTTAAAAATTTTTTTGAGTTTATTTTTATCATATGTGTATGAGTGTTTTGTCTACATGTATGTAAGTGCACCCATGCTTACAAAGGCTAGAAGAGGGTGTTGGATCCTCTGGAACAGGAGTTAGGGACAGTTGTTAGTCACAATATGTGCACTGGGAACCAAACTTGGATCCTCTGGCAAGAAGAGCAAGTGCTCTTAACCACTGAGCTCCAGCCCCTAAGACTTGTTTCTTAACATTTAAATAGCATTAAAAAGAAGTGGGGGACTTCTATTAACTATTAAATCTAAGTTTGTGGGTAAGGGCATGAATCCTTATACTTTCACTTTTCTGTAAACAAGTCTGAAAACGTCTTAAGAAAAGCATATAATTCCTACAAGTTTAATATTTTGTACTTTATCCAATACCATACACCCTGTTGAAGAGCCAATAATGGGCAGGTGAGATAGGTCAGTGGGTAAAGGCACCTGTTGCCAAGCCTGACCACCCCATGGTAGTAGAGAACTGACTCCTGCAAGCTGACCTCCCACAAGCATATCTGAATGTGGGCAATCATATGCATGCACATGCACACACATGTATGCACATAAAGTAAATAAAAATTCAATAAAAAGATTTAAAAAAGAACCAGGGGCAGGAAAGATGGTCCAGATTTCAGGGTTTGGTTCCCAGCACCTACATGGCAGCTAACAATGATGTCCAACCGACTCTAGTTCTAAAGAATCTGATCCCTTCTTCTGGCCTCTGCAGCCACTGCATAACCTGTGGGTACTTACGAACATGCAGGCAGAACACCAATACGCATAAAATAGCAGATAGCTCAGATGTAAAGTGGTTGTCTATCAGGCACAAAGTTCTGAGTTCAGTTCTGAGCACTAAGCTGCACTTACCCACCCATGTTTGCACACACAGAAAAAAAAAAAAAAAAAAAAAAGGAAAAGACTACACCCACCTGGTATTTATTTAACTAATAAGGTAAAAAATGAATTAATACAGACTGCTTAGGAATTAATATCAGCAGAGACAACCATCTGCCCCTGAAGCCTACTTTTCTTTGTATCATTCATTATTTAATTTTCTGTAAGATAGAGGACGACAGTATTATATACATAGCTGGCATTAAATAGACACAAGTGAATAAATGAGTAGTCACTAGCTCCTCCTTTTCTGCTTCCTGTTCTAAAGGTATTTAATGACAAGGAAGCTGTTGACCTGTATTTAGAAGCAGAAAAGCTGGCCTAATTACAGAATTGCTGTCTTTTCCAAACCTTTAACAGCTTGTCAAGAGTTCAGTGCACTGACGGGCCTATCCTAAACTGTAAATTTAGACAGTACAGACATTTTAACTAACTCTAACAGTATCTAACAAAGTTGAAATAGTAAAAGCACTTCAATTGATCCAATGATGTGTTCTAAGTTTAAGGTTTAATCCTTAAACTTATTTTCCAGAAATCACTAAAAATACTTTTTCTTACTATATTTAAAAGTTGTCATGGATAACCCCAACTCCAGAACACAAGCTAGTTCATGATATTTACCTATACCCATGTACTAGATGTGCATACAAGGGCAAATTACTCTCTAGCCTTGAATTTCCCAGTAAAATAGAGTAGGGTCTGCTTTAGAGTTACTGTGAGAAACACATCAAAAACTAAGCACAGAAGGCTCCAATTAACTTAAGTTAAGCCAAGGAGAGCTTTCCTAGTATACTTCTAGCAATGCTCTTGGAGTATATAACTATGAGGAGGTTTTAAAATGAATGAAAATGAAAAAACGACTAATCAGTCAACACCGTAAAGTCAACCTGGTTCTGTTTAATACCATAGTCTTCTCTAGAAGCAATACGAGACTTGGATTTTTTTTTTTTTTTTTTTTTTTTTTTTCTGTCTTTGAGACAGTTTCCCTGTAGCCCCAGCTGGTGTTGAACTCATACATAGAGACCTGCTGGGATTAAAGGTGTGTGTCACTATGCCCAGCAGGGGTCTTTTAAATTGTCCTCACCTCTCGAAAAAAATCACAGGTTAAGGTTTTTTGTCTTTTTTTTAATTAAAAAAAGGAACCAGTAGTATGCCTAGCACCTTCAAGCACTATGAAAGCTAACCAGTAGAGATGAGGTTTGTAGTCAGCACTAACTTGATTTCTCATGTGTTAAGTGTCTTCAGCAATAGGATCTTACTGTCAGGTTCTGGTGGGTAACCAAGAATAGGACAATGGCCAGTACTGTTTGAGGGTCTATGGGACCCCTGGTCAACAGTGTCAAAAGAAGTCCATCCCTGCAGTTGGGGTTTTATTTGTTAACCTATGGAAAGAAAAAAATAAATCATCAACTTTACCCAGCTGTGAATCCTGTGAACTACAACTGCCCTGGCAAAATATGCCCACCAGTTCAATAGTGGCACAAATATTATGGTTGTAACCAATCATCTTCTTATTAGCTTTAAGGTCCACTTCATGGGATGGAGCCCATACACTGATATTAGGCCTAGGAACCTGGGGCTAGACCTGTCACAGGGCACAGGAGAGGGCTTAATACTAATTTTTGGGCTTAACAGTTATAGTATTAAACTGACTCCTAATGACTTACTGTTATAACCATATATGGCTGCATCTCTCAATTCTCACCAGAGAAGCTTCCCTAGGTAGCAGATGATGATTAACACAGAGATCCACAACTGGCCTATGTGCAGAACAAGAGGCTACAGAGTGCTTATCCTGGAATAGGACACCTATTTCAAACTTCTGCCTCCCAAGGCTCAGGGACCATTGTGGAAAAGGGGGCAGAAAGACTGTAAGAGCCAGAGGTAGTGGATAACCACAAGGAAGTAAGAGTTTTCCAGAAAGCTGGTCACTTACTCATATGAACTCACAGCAATGGTGTCAGCATGTACAAGTCCCATGCAAGCTAATATCATACAAAATCTCAGTACAGACATGAGAAAGTGGGTAAGAAATCCCAACCCTACATGAGGAACTACTGGTGACCGATGGCTTCTGGGTAGGGGAGAGTTAGGGTCTTTCAAAGATGTGACTCTTGGTAGGTTAACCAGGCTCCAGTGGATGGACCCACACTAAAGGACATCTGGGGACACAAATTAGACTGTATAAACTTTATTATATACAATAACAGAGTACATTAAATTGGGCTAGGGCAATAGGGGAGGTTTGGATCAGGAAGGAGATCTAAATACAATCAAAACATATTGTATAAAGATGATAATAAAAGTCAAGGTATCAGGAGATCTTAAAATGTTTTAATTAAATCTGGCTGGGCATTGTAGCACATGCCTTTAACCTCAGCACTTGGGAGGCAGAAGCAGGCAGATCTCTGTGAGTTCAAGGTC